GGGGCGGGCAGGGCTTCCCAGCCGCAGAGACCCCTTCAGGGCATCACCGCCCGGGCGGTACAGAGGCCTCTGACACTCTTACTCTTAGTTTCACGCTCTGTGGATAGCCGGTGGCGCGTCAAGAACGCAGATGGCGGCCCTCACGCCATGCCTAGCCCAGTGGGGAAGACGAAACACCTGCGCTAGTGAGGTGCACAGCTCCCAGCCGGCTGCTAAATGTGTCACCCGTCACCAGCCTGACTCGTCCCGGGTGGTGGTTTTCTGTACGAGGCTGCTGTCGCCCATGTCAAGACGGCGGTGGTGCCTGTGGCGCTGAGGCCTGGGGAGGTGACCGGTGGAGGGAGATGCTGCCGTTCTGCAGCATCTGCAGGTGCTGTTGCTCCCGCTGCACTGCTAACGCTGAGCGGGGGCTGACCCAGGGGATTAACCAAGCAGGGAAATATCTGGGGGTTTGCAGCCCTCTTCTTTGCATTAAGTGCAGGGGATGCTAGTGAGGGAAATGCTGAAGGTCCAGAGTCTGTGCAGAGAGTAGATGGGAGTGAAGGGGGCACAGACTAGATCCTAAATGCACAACTTAAAGAGTTTCTGACATGTAGATCATCGTGGTGACCTGGATTAATAGCGACCAAATATTTAAAAGACAGCTGCTTCGGTGACAGTGACACACTGGTTCCAAATGCCTGTGTGACCCTATTTACTCCCTCTATAGCTGACCTAAGAATTGATTGACTGAACTGCTCTCTCACTCTTAGCTAATCTTCCCGGGTCAGAGATGAGCTGGGAAAAGTCTGCACACCCTTCCTCTTTTGTGGAAAGCGAACTTTGCTTTCCGGTGCTGTCTGGCATTTTATCAAGTCTTCGAGTCTACTTCACTAAAGGCAGCGTTTGCATAATGTGTTGAAGAATGGAGTTAGTTTCAGCAAAGGCGTTCCTGACATCCTAAATCTTGGTCACTAATAGCAGGACCATGTGACAATAAAACAATTATTTATTTTAATATTATTTTTTCTCTCACCATGGATGAGCTACGCTGTTATTGTTCCATCAGATATATTACTTGATCACAGTGATAAAAGTGTTGGCATATGAAATGTGAATTGAAGCAAAATAAAGACATCTAGTAATAGCAAATGTAACCTTGTAGATTTTTCCTGCTCTTGCCAGAAGATTAAAATTTGGGAATAGCTGCTGAGGGTTCATTTTGACTGATTTAACATTGTTTTCCTGCAAGTTGCAGGTGACTCATTGAAATAAAAAACAACAACAACAAATTTGTTTGAATTATGGAACATGTATAAATTATTTTTGTTTTCTTTTTATTTTCTTCCTGAAGCAAATAATCAATGGGAAACATAAAAATCTCAAGATTAACATTTTGCCATGAAATCTGAGTAAACAAAGTCATCTGCACTGGACAGTTATTTTAGTTTGTAAGTTCACTGTTTGAATCCCACTGAGATCCTCCATTTTGATCTGCTTGTTTGCTGACCCTGCTAAATATAAAGAACTTGTATAACCTTTGTGAGTCATCCTATCACTTACTCCATTCTGAATAGGAAAAAGTCTACTAGGAATAATTTTTATTATTCACATTCTTTTTCTTTACAGAAATTTGTTTTCTCATAATTTTCCTCATAGTTATGTGCAGTGAGGGGAAGAACAAAAGTCTTACAGGTTCTGTTTAGCTCCTAACAAACAGTGCAATAGTAGT